TTAGGCAGACACCATGGAAGGAGATCCATGTCCATATGGAACAATTCAATACTGGGACTTCCTGGCTGTATGCACAGTAAAACAAATACTGCTGTTCAGGATGGGCTTTTACCTGAATGTATCGTTAAATCTGACTGTGGTATTTTTAAAGACTGGTTATGCCACCCTGATAAAGAATTGTCTCAAATAGAGGGGGCTTCCTCTATTTGGGGGCTACTACCTATTTAAAAAAAGTCGACTTTGCTTTGCAATCAGAAATTCTTGTGAATAGTAAGTAAGAGGCAGCAGCTTTTTTTAGTAGGAAGAAATTGATAGTTTAAGTGTACGTTGGCCAGTGAGAAGGTTTCATGCATCTTTTTCTGTCTGCTTTCCCTTTGTAGTGCTGTCAGCCCACTCTTTGTTGCTCACTAAGTCCTAGTGACTTTGGCCCAAATTGGCTGTAGTATAAATGCAGATTTTCAGTTGCCAGAAAGTTCCCATTTCTCTTTTTTTTTTTTTTAATCTTCCCTTTCTGCAGCGGTTTTGGAGATTTTTCACCATCAACTATGTGAATCTAAGCTCCTTTCTCTTGGTCTGACAAATTTAATTAGTAACAGAATTGTTCTGTGGTTATTTCTTCCCTGATCTGTGGCAGTGCCTTAAACTAGAGGTTGTAGTACTTCAGGAGTCAGATGTGTTTTCTGAAGCTGCAAATTGAATGTTTGTATTGCGGTGTTTGTGTGAGCATAGTGGACTTTTTGGGGCATAGTCAGCAAAACCAGAAGGTGGAGGTTGTTGCTTTAAGGAAGATTTATAAGTGTGTTCCAGACTGAATATTTTGTGGTGTCCTCTTGTCTCTCTGATAAACTTGGGTATGTGTTGACAGGAGACAGATGGACCTGGTTACGTGTCCAGTTCATTCACAGTAGTAGTCTAAGGAAGATTTTCCTTTAGTGTGGGAAAGAGTTGAAACTCGCACATGCTGTGGGATGTGGCAGGTGTGTGCTAAGCAGTTGGGGATCACTTAGCTGGACTAAAATAAGGCCATAATGCAAGTATGCTTTGCAGTCCTGGCTCTTTTTCACTGTGAATACAGTTGACTTGCTTTAAAAGTTCATACTGGTAACAGGATGAGTTGTGTATTTTAAGGAATATAACAAGAACTCATGTATTGCCTAGTTCCCTAAGGAGGCTCCCATATGGAACTTAAGTGTACAAACAACAAAATAACAGCACTGAGAGACACCTGGATACAATTTGTTCACAAAATATTTTAGTGTAAGAGCAGTAAAAAGCCTGCCAGCTTGCCTGTATTTTAGTTTTTCAGTCGTACTACAATAAGTTTTAGATAATTATGTTTTCTCAATAAGTGAAACATGCTTAAAGAACTCTAAGCCAATTATACACATTGTATTTTAGAAATTTTATTACTTTAAGTAGATAACCAAAATTTTACTTCTGCCTTTTCTCCAAAGGTACATTTCAAAGTACTTAATCTTTTGGTTTAGCTCTTCTCTAATCTATTCTGCCTATGAGAGGATTAATGAGATGTGAATTGTAATCTCCTTATTGATTTCCTAATTATTTTTCATAATCTAACTCCAGCTCTTGATTTATGCTTCTCACTGATGAAAAATGTAGAAGCAACAGGAATGAATAATCTGTATGTGTACGCCCTGGAGCTGGTCGAGGATTTAGTTTTCTTTGTTTTGTAACCTCCATCTGGTCTGGTGGTGTTTCCATATCATATGCACTGCTTTTTTGTTTTTAGTCATACCACATCTTTTTAGATCCTCATTTACTTAAAATCTGGTTTCTGTAAATGAGCAGGATTTTATTTGATTGAGGAGCAAGGCTGTGCAGTAAATATTTAACGTAACGTCTTTTTCCAGTTTCATTCAGTAGTCTGTCTTGACTTTTATTTCCCAGAGCACTTCCACTAAACCAGCAGCTGCTACCTTGTCTGCGGCATCCGGGGATCTTGATCTATTTACTGAGCAAACAACAAAATCCGAAGAGTCAGCAAAGAAACAACTCTCCAAAGACTCCATTTTATCTCTGTATGGCACAGGAACCATGCAGCAGCAAAATGCTCCAGGTAAATAATTTTGTGAAGGTTTCTGTGCAGTCCTAGTTTAAGCTTTACCTAGAGCAGTTGTCTTCTACAAATACAAAGCTAAGGTTGGCTACCTGCTAACTACAGTCAAATGAAGATTTTTAATTTTACCTTTTATAAAACTGAGAAAAATTACTGAAATGTAATACGGAAGCTAAAGAAAAATACGGTATGTGATTTTAATTTATTTATAGCAGTTCAAATTATCAAGTGTACAGTTTACTGAAAGATTTGTGAACTCATCTTCTGCGATCTAATTCACTGCTGAAGATCTGAGTCTCCACTGTGCAACCAGCAGCTGCCAAGATCTGTATGGAGCTGTCAGAGCTTGGGTTTAGCTATGTTTGTGCGAAAACAAAGACCTCCAATACAGCAATTAAAAGATTCTGGTTGGCCAAAGGGATTTGCCAAACTCTTCTTGGCAGTTAATCTTGTGGTGAGTCCCTTTTCTTTCAAAGTTTTAAGCAAATTTTCAGTTTTAACAGAAGGTAAATTGACAGCTCTGACATACAACTGGATACACTTATCCTTTGAAATTATTTTGGTGTACTTCTGACCTATGGGGATGGGGGAGGAAAATCACAAAATGCTTTTGCTGAAATCTTCCCTTCTCTGGTACAGGTATGTTCATGGGGTCATCTTCTATGCCATTTACCACACAACCATCAACTCACTTTCAAGGCTTTCCAGCCATGGGAGTTCCTGTGCCAGCAGCAACTGGGATGATGGGAAACGTGATGGGACAATCGGTGCCAGTCATGGGACAGAGCACAGGCGTGATGATAGGAATGGGAATGCCCAATGGATTTACTGGTACTGCACAAACTGGTGTGATGGGACTTCCTCAAAATGTCGTTGGACCTCAAGGTGGAATGGTGGGACAGATGGTCACACCACCACAAAATAAGTATGGATTGCAACAAAACCAACAAGCTCAATGGAACCTCTCTCAGGTAAAGACTGGCTTCCCAGACGAGAGTGCTTTAGAAAAGATGCTGCTTTTCAGGTCCAAAATGTGTGGCTGTAGGAGGAAGGTGCAGTGTAGCCATGTTACAGACTGCTGGACTATGAACTGCTCAGAGGCATGTGTTAACAAATCAGTGAATAATTCAATTAAAGGTAACATAAGCAGAGAATAATTTTTGCTCTCAAACTTATTTTTACATTGAGCACTGAAAATTACAGTGATTAGATAATATTTGTAGAGAGTATGAATAGTTTTGCACCATACTTGAAGTGAATGTGCTGAATTTCGAACTCTTTCCCACCTTTAACCAGGTCTAAATTCACATGAATTTAATTTCATGTGAATTATTTAATTCATTTAAGGAATTACAATATCTTGAGTAGATTCTTTAGCAATAATGGTTAGATTTAGATAAAATTCATGTTTATAAACCCACCTCATTCTTTGCTGATTGCCACCTAAATGGACAATTTCTATAAAAACTTGTGTATTCAAGATTATGAGGTCTCCAAAGAACAAAAAAAAAAATCTGGAGTTGCAAGTGCAGACAAGGCTATATTACTGGCTTTGGTGTCTCTTTATCTCTCTAACCATAATTTTGTTGGTTAGCTTTGACACTGTGAAAGCAAACTCTTACCAACCAACCACATCAGCCATCTCCTTCACATGCTGTGTCAGTTCCTTAGTGGAACTTTCATACAGATGTGACACATAGACCAAGTGCTGCAGCCTGTCAGCTGGTGTATGATGGTGATTGAAGGGCTCCAGAAAAGCTGATAGCGTGGAAAAAGGCTTAGAAACTTAGATTGGGTCGGTATTTTTATTTAATGAGAAACATTTTTAGGGAAACGTACTCTTAACTGAGTGGCTGATTGGAGGCAGGACTGCTTTTGGCCAGCAGCATGCTGTGTTTCAGTGCCAGTGCTAACCAGCCTCATGCATGTGTTTGTGCTTCGCAGATGAATCAGCAAATGGCTGGAATGAACCTCAGCAGTTCCAGCAACGTGATGGGCTTTGGCCAGCCCCCCAGCACAGCGGCAGGATGGACTGGAAGCTCCTCTGGCCAGACTCTCAGCACACAACTGTGGAAATGAAAGTTGCAATAGAAGTCTCTCCCAGAACAGCCACCTAACATTCCTTGTTCAAATGCATTTACTTTTGCTGTTCCTTCCATGTACATATATATTCTTTTTTTTTTTTCCCAGCTGTTCAGATTAAGAATATAACTGACTGACCGTGTTGTGGTCTATATTGATTTAAATTTGATGTAGTGAAAAGCAGATCAGGAATATATTTATACATCATTGGAAGCATTTTCATCCAATGCATATGATTTCATAGACCATATTAAGAAGCTGCTTAACCGCATACTGATTTTTTTCCCTCAAAATTCTAGATCAAATGTTTGCATATAAGGGACGTAGCTATCATGTTAGTAATATCCAAAAATATGAACCCCAATTCCCCCAAATTACCCAGTAATCCTGTAGAAGGTACTCTATGAACAAATGTTTAATCATATATAAATAGAATGTAAATGTATCACCGAGCAATGTTTTCTAGTGTATCAAACAAATTTTGTTTCATCATACATTTCACTGTGATGTTATTATGGTGTGCATAACAGGGAATGTGGTTATTGAAAGAAAGATAAACCTGGATGTTACTGTAGTTCTACAAATCAATAGTTTATTCTTTTAAAAATGAGCATTGGATGCATTTGAGTTTCCTGTGATAAAGTCTCTGATCTGGCTCATGAGGCACACGCACAGTATTAATGCTGAGAACTGGCAGCACAATATGCATACAAGGTAACTCCAAATGAATGGATATATTTTTCCTTGCAGAGATCCAGGTTTATGACAGTGATTGTGTTTACATTTTATGGTGCCTCGTAATGATAAAATGTTATTTCCCTATATTAAAAGGATAAATCCATAAGTGACTCTGGGTTTTTATTTTGTTATTGTACAACCTATTTGACCGCTACTTCTAATGAAGTAAAACATGTTCAGTTTGGAGGATCCATTTATGCAGATATTTAGATCAACAGTTTGTGAGTTAAAATCAGTTTATAATTACACCATTAAGCTGGATAAATACAAAAAGTATATACATAAATAATGATTTTGAAAAAATACCATTACACCACATTTCTCTATGTGGAAACAGCGTTAAAACAAAGGTAAGTGTCAGTTTATTAAGCTGAGAGTTCAGAAATGCATGCAGACAAGTTAGAACAAGCACACCCACTTGATTTGCTTACTAGAGTCTCTGACAACTTCCTTTTGTTTCCACAGAAGTCCATCAGGTCTCACACAGAACTAGATGATTTTAACTGGCTGAATTCAAACACGTCCTGACGCGTCCATTGTCCTGCACTTGCTGTGTGACTGTCTCCCCACATCATACCTCAATATTGACTGTATCCAGGTGGTACTTTGGCTCGTTAGCTAGATTCACCTTCTCTGTTCTCGTGTGCCATACCAGAACCTATAAAATAACATTTGTGTCAGTACAGTCATCTACAGAGATGACACAAAAGCTTTTTAGAAAGTGTGGAACTTGGTACCTTTGTGCAGTTGTTTGCTTTTGGCTCCAGTTCCTCCACTGTTGTTATCTGTTTCAGAAAATCAGATTCTTGCATTCCTGGTTGAGAACCACGACGCTTGAACACGGCTTTGGGATGCGACAGGATCACTTGAAGACTCACAGCAAATCCTTGGATAGAAGGGGACAGGGAAAAAGTTAAGAAAAACCTTTAGGCTTTACATTTTTGTGCAGTTACATTGAAGCCTAGAAATCTCCCATGCTCTTTTTAAAATTGTCTAAATTTGATTATATGAATATTTGGTAGGTTTGTATGTCCTACATTTCTGTGTTTTGCCCTCAAGATACAATCAGATGTTTTTTGCGCCATATTTTCAACATGTTTAATCTATTTCCTGTCATGTAAGGAATATATATTTTTTTGCCCTGAAAAGTCAGATATTGCTAAGATCCTGGACTATTCATCCTTTCTACTTCTAATTAAGAAATAAAACTCAATTTTAAGTAAAATAAAATGTATAAAATTTATACTGTGCAAACACTTCTACATTTAAAGGTGAAAGTCAGAAAAAAGGTTAAAATACATTACAACTGTGATCTTTGGAGAGTTTCAGCCTGTAGAGAGTTTTTAACGTTGTTGGTGAAAGACAAGCCACATTAATGCTCTGCCTTGCACACTGTGTAGTCACTGTGGACTTGTGAATGACTTTCATCACTGGTGGTCTGCAAGGCAGTCTGCAGGTGATCTGTACATGGCACAGCACGGCTGAAAGGACTTCTTCGTGCACACGCCTCTCTGCGATGCATTCCTCCAGTAACGTGCGTTAGGTCCCTTGAAGGGAGATTGCACACTGAGAAATCACTGGTTTGAACAAACTCGCCCTCTCTGAAGAAGCTCCCATGAATCTCCAATTTGCCATTATTTATAGAACTCTCCAGTTTTCCTTCAGCTATGCTCAGTCACATGTATGGTTCTTTCAGTAGGACTCAAAACTAGACTGATAGACTTGTAAAGAAAAATGACATTTGTAACTAACTCGTTATGTCTGATTGCCAAGCCTACCAAAGAAATCCTTTCTTTGTCAGTTCAGAGTGGTTCCAGCTGTCCCTTTATGACACAAGTAGTAACAGTTTTCACACAAGTTTTGGAAAACGGCAAGAACATTTAATTCTAAAGCCAGTATTAAAATGTTATTGGTTTAAAATTGAGAATAGCTTTCTCTAACTTAATATAATTCTAACCCATTTTTACTACAGTTGTCTTGCTACTGTATTTTTCTTGAAAGTATCTGTGACTTTTGTAGGGGCCTTTTGAAGAGGAAAATATAAGGAAGTAATTATTACATCACGTGTAAAGAAGGGCATACTGAAACCACTTTCAGTGGTTCCTGCTCTTGCTTGCAGGAAAGTACAGGAAGACACCAGAAAGTTTGTTTTGTTTTAAATAAAGATTTGGACCCTGATAAAAACTATGGGTTGGACATAAAGTAAGGTTCCAATTCACTGATGGACACAGTTGCAGAAGACGTGTATATGTTATATCTTTTTTGTAACTTTATACATTATATCTTGTCTGAGATAAAGAACAAGAGGTGTCTAGATGGAGAGGGCATATTGCCCACACCTTGCAGAGCAGTCTAGTGAATAAAAGACTTCAGGAGGTGTGAGACGTTGGCTGCAGCCTGTCCTCACTCAGTTAACCTCTGCAGCATCACTGCTGGGATCCAGCTGTTCTCTGCTGCAGCTGCTGGGCTTAGCTCAGTGCTCCCAGGCAGAATAATGCTCTGGACTTCTCTTCCCCACCAGGGGTTTGTCTGCAGCAGGCTGCAGGCCTTTCCTACTTCCTACAACTTGTAGACTGGTCATGAGAGAGCACAAGATGGGCTCCATCCCAGCGTTGTTGGTAGGCAAGTGTAATCATTTGGGAAGAGCTGAGATCGAGTGTTTAAACTCCCTCAGCAAGAGACAGCAGCAGTGTGTACAGCCAGCTTGCACCACCTTGAAAGAGACCTTGGACTTAATACTGATGAACAAATTGACCTGCTTCAGTTCAGTGGTTTTGGTTAGGTTTTGTTGGTTTTTTTCCTCAGTTAGAACAAGCAATAAATTTTGGATGCAACTGGGCTTTGATAATTTTGAGCGCCAAAAAAAAAAAAAAAAGTTGCTTTGCATGGGAAGGCATTGTTGGAATCCTGATCAGCTGTGTGAGCTGCTGTTTCTTTTCAAAAAGATTTAGGATTCAAGCTGGCCATGCATAAATGAAGTAAACACCAAAATAATTAAGGTAGTGGCCTAGTTTTTAGAGTGGGGAAGGAATCCCATTCTAAGCAGAAGAGGCACGGATTTTCCACTGCTTACCTCAGTATGTGTCAGTGTGGCTCCCTGGCTCCCTCAGCCCATACTTATCCATACATTGATTAATTTCTTATGCTTGCTCCTCTGTTGAGAAAATTGCATGGAGTTCTGAGGGTGGATTTCTCCTATGCACAGATCTTCAGATGGGCCGTGCCCCCTGCATGTAACACATGCCCTTGCTACCATGCTATTGCAAATTGCCATTATAGGGTGCTATCAAAAATCAGGCATCAAATAAAACTTAAATTATAAACTGAGTGTTGTGGGTGGCAAGGACACAGACTACTGTGCACAGACTGGCCTGAGGTTTGTTTCCTTGGTCAGTGGTCACGCAGTCTTTGTTTCTTAAAAAATCCAATAAAGCAACAACTTGAGAGAAAATAATGCAAGGAAATTTATGTCCTGCCTATTTTAGTTCTTCAGCTTTGCTTTATAACTGCTTTAATTTCACATGTATGACATTTTGTAAGATGGACTTGGGAGAAAGCCACTTTCTAGTGACACCTTTCCACTGACTTTTTATCACAGATGTATCATTTTGGTGTCAGAAAGAGAGGAGATGGCTCAGGTTTTGACCAGACTGGCACTAATTTCTCTACTAATTTCTCTCAGTAGATAATGAGCCTGTGCTAATAGATGAAAATATGCTGTTATTTTGAATTCTATCACCAAACAGGGATTAATTTGGGATTACTGTCTCCAGTGTAGCATAACTGAACAGTGCTTACATGCATACAGTTATTTTACTTAATCATTATTCCTATAAGGTCATATTGGGCTTAAGCTCATATGACGTGCCACAAGACAATTTCATAGCTGGAGTGTGAAGAGGTGTTTTGGGGGTTTTATGGTGTTTAATGCAAGGTTGTAAATTAAATCTAATTGGCTGAAGAACCACCTAGACAGGAATTAATTTGCTGGAGGATAAGATACCTGGGAGATGTGGCAAAGATTATATCTGTGCTTCTTTCAACATAAGCTGTTCCTGTTAATTCACACCTTGACTTGTGTTAGATCAGTGGCTTCTGTTAAAAGGCAGAACTATTTTTTTTTTCATCCAGTTAAACTTGAGCCAGTGTTTAAAGATTTTGTTGCCATGATTAATGCCATTGCTTCCTAGATGTTCTAGATAGGATAGTGGCTGAAGGCAAGTTATATTCTTAATCTGAACTGAGAGTTTATAATTTCTGGAGTGTATAAATGCTAATGTAGAAACAGACCTACTGGTGTCCACATGGTTTAAGGTACCACCTTTGGCTTGTTGGATGTGCCATGGCTTGGGCTCTGCTGCTCTCACTGTTCTCCCTGTGACACACAGTTTGGGTTGCAATAAGACAGAGATGGCTAACCAGGGGTTTCTGTAGTTCAGAACAAAGGCATCTGCTCACAATTAATTCACCATGAAAGGCTCTTGATTGTAAACTCAATGTTTAAAATGGTATTAACCCTTTCACGGAGGAGAAGTTGGGGTTTGGTTTTTTTGAGCATGCTGTCTGCCATAGCCACTCAAAATTTTTTTGTTTGCACTTGTGTCTTCCAGCAGTGGCTCTTTCAGAGTCAGTCAAAATATGCCATGTTTTGTGGTGTCATGAATAGACTAGCTTTTTGCTCAGGGAACCCTAAGAAAGATGAGATGTACTGAAGAACTCATAACTATAGCAAAATGAAAATTAAAAAAAAAAAAAAAGGTGTTTGCTCAGGCCCTAGCAGAGGCACTTCGGGCACAGTGGATGAGCTCTGCACCACACATCCAAAATCTGCTTGCCTAGTCATTTACAGGCATGTACTAATCCCTGTGACTGAAGTAACTCCTGGAATGCTAATGTAAAGCATGGGCCTGCCTTCTTGAACAATCCTGACACTAGGAGAATCATGATGTAACATGTTTTCATGAGTGGTCCAAAATTCTGGCACTGGGAACAAGCCAAATTTAAAACAGCAGTATTTAATATAGAAGACTTTAAATCAGGTCCATAGTAAATAACACACTGCCTAATTCAGAATCAGTGTCACCTTTTTGCTTTCAAGATTCTTTCTCACTTTTCTTCCCTGAGGGTAAGGAAGTTTGTGTCAAACTCTAGAACTCACCTACAGTTAAAACTGAAACAGAACTTAGAAAACATCTGAACGAATTCATATGGTGAGTTGGTTGCCAGTCAAGAAGCAGCACAGGAAACAGCGACTCTGCTTTCTGAATGCAATTTAGCATTGGAGAATAGCAGTGTCAGCCACAAATTTCTCAAAATAAATAACCAGTGCTTAATGAACTGATCTAATGTGACTGCGATGTGTGAGTGTGTTTCATGGAGTCTGGGGAGGTTGGCCACCTGGGGTCTTTGAGATGAGCCCAGTGAAATCAGCAGGATCTGTCTCCACTTGCAGTAATTTGAATTTGACTCTTGTGAAAATCATTAAGAAAATATAGTTCAGTAAACCAAAGGGAGCTTCCTTACCAGTGCATTGGCTGTCAGAATATTAACTGTAGACAGCTGAGCAGTTTAATATATGCACCTATACTTTTTTCATGGCAATATTTTCAAATGAGGTCCTTGAACTTCCTTATGTGCAGTTTAACCTAAATTGCTTGTGTGTTTGGTGAGGAGATGGAGAAATGCCAGTGATGGACCACAGCATGGACTTAGGTTTTTTTAGTAAGCCTCCCAAGTCTGCAGGGGTGTGTTGGGAAGTTGGGAGCAAAGGGCATGGGTAGGAAACTGAGTGTTGACATGTGTCCTGTAGACTTTGCCTGCTCAGACACCTATGAAGTTCTGGATTTGCACTTCTGTTCTGTTAGTGCCCTTCCACTGTATTCCTGAGGGGACTGAAGATGCAACTTTCACATAATTATTTTAGAGCTCTACACAGCATCCATTTCTCTCCTTGCTGAAATTAAAAATGTAATTTAATTTCTTCAGTATTTTTGAAGACTAATAAAAGTTGTCTTACAAAATAGTAACTCCTTGTTTGTGGATCTGCAGTAACTTCCTGTACTATCAATGTTTCTTTGTCTCTATAACCCTCCCCTTTGTGACTTTCATAAAAGTACAAGGAGGTAATGCTACTAATGGAGCTGCTTTTCCCTCATGCCAGTGATTCAGCCAGCAACTACAAAGTAAACCACAACTTAAGAACTTTCCAAGTATCTCTTCATGTCTGGGTTAGAGTCCCCTGGCCATTGTTGTGTAATGGCTTTTTGTCTGCTGCTAATGAATTATGAACCATGCTCTCACCTAAATAATGCCCATCAGTAATCCCTTCTACAGCACTGTATCAATAGGTATCTGTGAGTCCACAGGCAGAGACTGATAAAATGCACAGCTGCAGTCCTCGACACGCTGCATGGGTTTGGGCATTGACATACCTACATCTCCCCTGTGGAATGCCTCTACCTAAACACCCAAATATTAATCTTTATGCCAGGTGGTATTATTGTCTTTAAATGCCCCTATAGTACAGAAAAAATTCACCTGCTGATGTTTCTATCTTTGAGGTGTTAAAAACAATTAGTACTTTATTCTTTTTAACCAATACAACTGTATATAGTGTACATATTTATCATCAGACATTTCAATTAATATATTCTGCCAAAGTGAGAAAGCACTGTTCTTTTCCCTCTCCCAAAATATAAGTGTACCAGAGGAAAAAAAAAAGTAGCTATTTCTCTCCTGTTCTTGCCCTTGTATTCCTACTTTTCCCCTTCCCTCCTTGATACAGAAGATGCCTAAGTGCAAATACCGTATCGCTTGCTAGGAAATCAGCTGCTGCTACATAGGAAAGTGGACTTCTGCACAGTGGTGATTCATGTGGCAGTTGTGAATATATTTAAGAGATTGTCTAAGCACGGACTGACAGCAAGACAGAGCTGTGTGGTGTGCAAACTTCACTGCAGAAGATTGATTACATCCATTTTGAAGCTTTTCTGCCTTCATCTACTAGGCAATAGCTGTCAGTGATTTTTCACCTAAGCCCAGTGTTTCAAACTATATCCATCTACAGTTATCACTGTTGTTCCAAATAACCAATACAAAATGAATCATTTTATGATACAGTAGCATTTTACAACATGAGGTCTGCGAAGGGTCTGTATTTATACTACCTGGTTTAGATTGATGACACAATGACAGGCAGGTGCTCCTTGCAAAAATTACTTCGATGAATTAACTTACAATTAACTTGTTTCAGACAAACAATTTATACAACATAAAAGCCAAGTTGCCACATAAAATTAAAAACAAATGAAAGTAACTTCAGATATCACCAAGCAGCAACTTAATTAGACAAGATGTGCAAGCTAAGACTTCCAGGATATTTAGTGCCAAAGGGCTGCATACAGTGCTGACACTTGGGAAGTTTTAAAAGCTGCTTACGTTGAGAAAATCAGTTATTATGAGAAACATTCATGTATCATGTGATCCTTACCTGCCATGTCAATAGCAAAGGGCCTGTCCGCTCTCCAGCCCGTGTACCAGCCAACAACTTTGCCGTTCTCCACGACTGGGCGCTCGTACCGCCGTCCCCCGACCAGCCCCACGGGCCACACGGACACCTTGCGTGTTGTGCGCATCTGCAAGAGGCAGCACAGCATCACTCACTGCCTGCCCGTGCTCCTGGCAGGCTTCTTTTGTAAGTGTTGGTAGAAAGCCTACGCACTAATCAGCAAGACTAGGTATTCAAAGGCAATTCTAGCTTACAGATTTCAGCCCAACAGAGTAAGTATTTGAAAGCTACGTGTGCCCACTCATTTTCTGTGAAATCTCCAGCTCTTTAGCCCATAGGCACCTCAGTTCTACTTTAACACCCTATTCATAATATCTTTTATAGCAAAATTTTTTAAAAGCTGTGAAAAAACAGGTTTGGGGTTTTTTTTCTTGTTTGGGTTTCCACAGGTGTAGTAGATCTTTTTTATCTGCAAGACTACAGCATTCTCTCAGTAGGCTTATTTCTATAGATTGCTGAGATATTTTACAAACCCGATGAGAGAAAATGTAATAATGATTAACAAATACGCATGTCATTAAAACAAGTACAATTAGTTTGAGACTGGTAAAAAATGCATTGAGTACAGGAAATTATGACACAGCTCTTTCCTACCTGCAACGTACCAGATTTGTACAGAGCTAAGATGCAGCTCAGATCTATTAAACGGTCACCAAAAAAAAAAAAAAAAAGATTATTTGGGTTAAACCTTTTTTAATTTTACATTTTCCCTTTAAAAACTCTGCTAAATTTCCAGGAAGGATGAAAAAGCAGGCCAGGTAGGATGCTTACTATCAATAATAGGAATTTTTCCCAGTGGTGTAAATGTAACTAAATGCAGTTCTAGAAACATGGTCCCTATCTAACCTTGAGGAATCTACAGATACTAAAAAATGATTCTTTCTTTAGCAAGAAGTGTGCATGACTGGGAGTCACTTCAAGGAAGACATTGAGGTGCTGGAGCACGTGCAGAGAAAGGCAATGAAGCTGGGGAAGGATCTGGAGAGTAAGTCATAGGAGGGGCAGCTGAGGGAGCTGGGAGTGTTTAGCCTGTTAAAAAAGGAGGCTCAGGAGAGACTTTATTTCTCTCTACAACCACCTGAAAGGAGGTTGTAGCCAGGTGGGGCTTGGCCTCTTCTCCCATGCAGCTAGTGACAGGACAAGAGGAAATGGCCTCAAGCTGTGCCAGGGGAGGTTCAGTTTGGACATCAGGAAGAATTTCTTCACTGAAAAGGTTGTCAGACATCGGAACAGGCTGCCCAGGGAAGTGGTGGAGTCATCATCCCCAGAGGTGCTCAAGAAACAACTGGATATGCCACTTAGTGCTATGATTTAATTGATACAGTGCTGTTCGGTCAAAGGTTGGACTCAATCTTGGAGGTCTTTTCCAACCTTAAAGAATCTGTGATTCAGTGAGTTCAGATAACTGGTTCACTGGACCATTTCTTCAGTAAACAGGAGATAATATGACATGAACTTTGACGCACTGCTCCCCATGGGAAAATCAGATAGTCTGATGTGAGAACTTGAGTAGACGAGTGCAACAGACACGGCAACTTGCACAATTTAACCACATTGATTGAAAAGCCACTGGTTCAACTACTGTGTTTTAAATATGGTGCTATTTAAACAAGTATTAAACTATTTCAGTGTAATGTGGGCTTTATTTGATCTGTTCTAAAAACAGTCTCATCTTTTGTTGTAATTGAAGCTTATTCCTTAGGGAAAGGTTATCCCTTTCTCCTTCCAAGCACTTCTCTTAGCAAAAACAAATACAGTTTTACATATTTGTTACTGCAGTCCCCTATCAATGGATGTTGAAGTAAAAGACAACCTTGGTTAAATATTAAACAATTCTCTCTCTCTCTGCCAAGGTGAAAGATTTATCATGCATATCATCTAGACTCATAGGAGTTGCACCAGAAAAAACAAAGACATCATGTCAGTGTGGTTCACATTTCCAAGCTAGATACATTTGCAGATTCTTAGAACTTTCACACAGGGAAGGCATAAAATATATATTTGAAAATCCACAAATATGTATGGACACACAGAAGATAGATATGTACCTTCTCTCCCTCCAATTACTTGTGTATCTTCAAATTTGTTTAGCAGAATTTCCTCACCTCCACCCTAATAGCTGTGGCAGTCAGCTGAGAGTCACACCATCTCTCAGCAGCAGCAGAGACATCCCATAGTGTGTGAGAGCAGAGTAATGTGTACAGTTGGCAATATAGGGATTTCTTGTGATAAGGATTCTGTCCAAGCCATTGACTATTTAATTGCCAGTGAGACACTATCATGAATCTCTCTACAGGTTATTGCTAATCATGTTTATCTGTAACTCTTCTCCCTGCTTACGTTTAATTTTCCAATCTGTCGCACTCCTCCATGCAGGAAAAGCAGAGTTAGCAGTTAACTATTTGGGTATGGACATTAGCCAAACCTTCTCATGAAGGTCTTTTAACTCTGGTTTTAATGATACATCCCTTTTGCATATTTTGCTAACAGCATATTTCTATTAACACCCAAACATATCAGACATGGACACAGGGCATCATTCTGTTGGGCATGTCTACACAGGTAAGTTCCAGTAGGTTTCCAAGGGCAGCAAAAAGCCACATACACCCAACTGTGCTACACCAGCAATAACCACAGGATGAACACACATGTTGCCATTAACACCTCCTGGAGGGTATGGATACCTTTACAAATTATTAATGTACAGAATTGCAGCACTTTAGCCACCCTATGCCAATCGTACCCACAGTAAACACGAAATGCCACAAGACAAGGGCAGACACACTCTAACTACGAGAGTGTGGCTGATGCATGGTGCACCCATGCCCTGCCTGAGCACACAATAGAAGTTTGGGCAGCTGTACTGTACAATGGGCCAGGTTACACAGGACTTCTGAACTGGGTAAACAGCAGCCTCAGCATCTGTGCTGGCAGAACCAGACGGATTTACATTAATACTCTACCATACACCACGTCTACGAAAATCTTGTCAGTGGAAAGTATATCACTGACCTCGCAAAACCCAAGAAGTTTTGAATTTGTACAGTCTTGGTTCTATCTTGGTGTCTAAGAGTTATGTCAGTAAAGCCACCACACAACAGAAGGAAGGAGCTCTACATTTTGTCCTTGGGTTACTTTCTTTATTCTCACAGGTTACATTTTTGGAGAATGAAATAAGCAGGTGTCAAGAATACAGCAATCCCTTTAAGTAAAAGCTGAAAGAGCACATCTAGACCAGTATTTATGCTAATTCTGAAATACCTCACAGCCTCAGAATATGCTAGGCAGATGAAAGTAGGAATATTTCTTTTAATCTTCTGAGAATAGCATTACTGCAGTTAACATACTGCTATGTGAAGGCTGTATTTATGTATGATGGGGAAAAAGCTATTATTATTTGGATTAAAAGGCCAGCTTGCACCTGGAATTTTATGCTGCTAATCATTGGGACACAAAAAGGTGATTCGAAAATGTGTTAATTCTAAATAGTCTTAGTGCTGTGGGCTAAACAACTGCCAAAATCCTGTGACTTACAAATAGCTTCCTAAATTGCCCTTCTGTCATTGTAATGACAGCAGTAGCACACGCTGTCTTAATACTCATTATTTTAAGTCCTAGCAACTTACATGAATGGTATTCATCTTACTTATACTTAACTCTCTGTAAGTATCTGGTCTGTCCTAGTTAGACTTCTGTAGTTAATGAAAGAGATAGGAACCCACTGACATGATTCATCCTGCTTGGCTTAGACAGCTATCTTAAGGTGGGATGAATCTCCCTCAGGAAATGCTTTTATCCTCTATTTACTTTTTGATTATTTGAAAGGGGGTCTTGGGCATAGGAGGAGAGTAATGTACTGGATGGGGAAGATGGTAGAAAAAATCTGAATGAAGTAGCAGAAGGGACAACGATTGGGAAGGATTGGGCAAGGAAATGACAGGAGAGATTGGTAACAACTGACCCAAGAAATCCGAGTGAGGTGATGGGCATATAACAGTAAATAGTTACAACAGAGTAACCACTAAAGAATAGCAAGTGAAAATGCAGAAAATGTATCTGAGTAATAAAAGGCAGTGATAAAAGCATTGCCAAATACAGCATCTCATTAGTCAATCAAGAAAAGCTGCTTAATGGGATGTGCCGGACTGATGGATAGGGAAGATACCAAGCCAGTAACAAAATATAAAAGCCCAGGGGGAATGAAGGCAAATGACAGACAGGGAGAAGGAAACATGGAGGTACTTCCTACAGCGAAAAGGCTTCCAGACTGGTACAACCATCCTAGTGTTTTTGCAGCATGATGTTGATGTGTTTTTACTTGAGATTTAAAGCTCTTTGTAAATGCAAACCTGCTGCTACACGTAGTACGCTTTTTTCTCCCCCTATCATTTCAGCCTCTCTCTGATTTGTGATCTATACTGGTCAGGCTACAGGTTAGCACCCAGGCTCACCATCCCATCCCATCCCACTCCACCCCCCTGCCCATCCCAGCAGACTTCTACAAAAAAATTCCTATTTATTATTACCAAAGACAGGACATAGAGCTCCTTCACTACAACCCTTCCACAGCAGAAAATTTTATGGGTTAAAAAAACAAGCACAGCCAGGTTCCCTGTCAGTTCTCACACAGTTCTCTGCATTGCTCACAGGTCATCTAAAGCCAGATTCTGCTTCAATGAAACTCATGGAAGAGTACTACGAGTCAGAGAGCTCAGCAGCAGCGATGCTGTGCCCGTTTACTGAGGCATTGGATGGAGCTTCTGCCCCTACTTACCATCACTTCAAAGGAGGTACTGAGGCATAGAAAACCTCTGCCAGTGATTTTTGTGGTTCAGGGACTGTGACACTTAAGGGATAGGAACTTCAAAAAGCAAGGTTGTTGTTGGTAAACTTGACTGTAAAAGGTATTCTCTGTGGGAAAACTTGTAGAAAGGGTCTACAAGTCAAAAACATTTTCAGTCATTGAACTCGCCTGCTCCACAACCCTCACAGGTGATCTGATTTAGTTCTTCGCCATCCTCACTATTAGAAAGCTTTCTCTCCAAGCATCTGTTTTAAACCTCCTCT